TCAATCTCAATTCTCCTTTGTGGACCGCCTCCAAGGGGGGGCGATCAAGGTCGGGGCATGACAAAAAAGATACAAGCATGCCTAATTGGATGTATGTTGGAGGGACCCTTGGAGAGGAACCCACCGACCGCCAGCGACCCCGACGTGAACACTTTGGTTGTGGTTGTGGTCAATTTAGCCGTCCTGAGACGCCCACGTCGACCAAAAACCCAGTACCAAGCTGGTCCCGGTGCTCTGACGGCTGCTGGCATGCGCAAGAAAAGCCCCAGGGTGTCCTCGATGTGGTGGTGGTCGCTTGCTGTCTCCGCACAGGTGGGGAGGAGGAGGAGGAGGAGGAGGAGGAGGAGGAGGGAAGGGAGGAGGAGAGAGGAGGAGGAGGAGGGGGGGGGGGGGGGAGGGTGGCACCGCTCGTGCACCTTCGAAGCCCTACGGGGTTCCCCTGGGCCCAGACGGTGCGCGGAGGAAGCACGTGGCTCCTCCTCCTCCTCCTCATCCTCCTCTTCCTCCTCCTCTTCCTCCTCCTCACAAGCCTCCTCCTCCGCCCCCTCCTCATCCTCCTTCTCTTCCTCCTCCTCCTCCTCCTCCTCCTCCTCCTCCTCCTCCTCCCCCTCCTCATCCTCCTCCTCCTCCTCCTCCTCCTCCTTCTCCTTCTCCTCACAAGCCGTTGCAGCGACACCCCCGGGGGGGCCCTTCGTTCCGCCAGGTCCCGGACACCTTCGTGAACGAGGGGTGGTGCTTAGACGACATGCACCACGGAGGATGGGGTCGGGAGGGGAGGGGGGGAAGCAGTGACGGTTTCCCAGTCTTCCTCCTCATCCTCCTCCCCCCGCGCTTTCTGGGTGTGCGCGGCTGCTTTTGCAATCGCGGAGGAGAGGGGGGGTGGGGCGGCGGAGGAAGAGGGCGAATGGGGGACGGGGGAGAGAGATGGAGGGCGGGGCACGGGGCTCGCTCCTGCCTGGCGTGCGGGCAGGGGAAGCAGGAGAGACTGGATGCGAGCAGAGGCTTGCGGGAATGCGGGCCCCAGATGGCCAACTGTTTCGGGGGGGGGCCTTCATGATCCGTGGATATGACTTCCACGCGCCAGCCAGATCCGCGGACCCCAGATCCCTGATCCACAGTACCGCGTGCCCGATACTTCATGTTGACGGGCATGGTAGCACGATGGTTTCCCGGGAGACCTTTGCATCTCTGCGGAGCGCTTTGTCTTGCCCTGTCAATGGCAGTATGCTCTTGTACGCCGACGTGGGTCCGACGCGCATTATTCAGCATGAGCTCGACGTGGAATCGGCACGAATTCGACACGGAGTCGACGATTTTGGCATGGATTCGACGTGTATGCGACACGAGTGGTTGGGGCGATGAGACGGACAAGGTCCCCAAATGATGCAGCATGAGCCTCCCAGGAGGAGGAGGAGGAGGAGGAGGAGGAGGAGGAGGAGGAGGAGAAGGAGGAGGGGAGAGGAGGGCGGAGGCGGAGGCGGAGGCGGAGGAGGAGGAGGAGGAGGAGGAGGGAGGAGGGGAGGGAGGAGAGAGGGAGGAGAGAGGTGGAGGAGAGGAGGAGGAGGAGGAGGCAGGAGGGAGGAGGAGGAGGAGGAGGAGGAGGAGGAGGAGGAGGAGGAGGAGGAGCTGGAGGAGGAGGAGGAGGAGGAGGAGGAGGAGGCGGAGTCTCGATTTGTTTCCAACCCTCCTTGGGCATTCGTTTTGAATAGAGCACTGCGGTCGCGTCCTCCTCCCGCCTCCCTCTTGTCTCCTCTTGCCTTGTGCGTACCTCTTGTGTGTGGATCTTGCCTGCGGTTCCGCAGGGTGCGCTGCGATCTGCGAAACTGCCGCCACTTTCGAGGGCTGCTGGTGGGTCCAGCGGAGTGAGGCACCGATCTGAGCGGTAGCTCGCCGTCCCTGGCGGATCTGAGCGGGACCTCGCAATCTTTGGGGGGCTGCAGGCCTCCGAGCGCCCACGTCACGTCATCCCCTCCGCATAACGCCTCCCAAGCTGCTCGTGCCCCGCACTGCGCAGGGGCTGGGCACGCCGCCGGGGCTATTCCGCGCGGGGTCCTCCTGGATGCTGTGGAGACCCGTTCCTGGGGGGCACGCTCCTGGCCCCGGGGGCACGGCGAGGGCCCCCGGGGTGCCGAGAACGCGGCGGAGCACCGCCGTGTCGTGGGGTGCCCCTGCACGTGGAGGATGTCTCCGAAGGCGTCCGTAGTCGTCTGGGCTCCGCAGGCGACCCGGTCGGCCTGCGCCCCCTGCACGTTTCGGCGACCCGTCTTCTTCCTCCTCCTCCTCCTTTTTCTTCTCCTCCTCCTCCTCCTCCTCGTCCCCCCTTCCCCCTGACTCCCCTCTTCCTGCTCTCCTCTGCCTCCTTCTCCTCCTCTTGTTTCTCCTCCACATCCTTCTCCCCCCTCCTCTTCCCTCATCCACCTCCTCCACCCCTCCTCCACCTCCCAATCATCCTCTTTCTCCTGACCCCCCCCTCATGTTCATCTTCGTCGTTCTCAGGGTCGGATGCACTTCATGTTTTGATCTACTTCGGCCGCCTTCCTAACTTCAAGAGTCGAACGGTGTTCCCTCTGCCCGCCTCCATGCGTCTGCCTACTTCTTTCGACCGACGGGTGGTCGTTCCTGGAGATCCGACGACGCGAAGACATTGCAGCATCGTGTTGGCGTCGGCCGGAGCCCTGGGCCCAATCTGTTCCGTTGCGTTCTTCGAGCCGGATCGATCCGTCAGGGCCCCGGGGCCCGAAACCAGGCAAACCCACCGGCTGTGAAGATGATGATGATGATGATGATGATGCTGGTGATGATGATGACGATGATGGTGATGATGGTAATGATGATGATGATGATGGCGATGGCGATGACGATGACGACGACGATGATGATGATGATGATAATGATGATGATGATGTTGATGCTGATGGCCACGACGACGACGATGCTGATGATGATGATGATCATGATGTTTCATGTTGATGGTGATGATGATAATGGTAACAATGATGATGATGATGATGAGGATGATGATGATGATGATGATGATGATGCTGATGATGATGCTGGTGTTGATGCTGCTGATGATGATGATGGTGGTGATGATGATGATGGTGATGGTGATGTGGTGATGAGATGATGACGCTGCTGCTGATGATGATGACGAAGAACAAGAACCCTCGACGCCAGGAGCTCCGGGCTGGAGGCCGTCCCAGTAGGCGCTCCTCCGCGCATGGGACCCGTTCCGAGGCGTGCTCGCAGCCTCGGGGTTGGAGCTCTGGGCCTTCGGGGGCGCGTGGTCTTATGCGGGCGAGCGGCTCCAGGAAGGACGAGCAGAAGTCCGCTCCAGGGCTCTCCGCACGGCTCCCAGGACACTCTGGCACGCTCTGAGAAGGCCGCGGCGCCTGATGCATCCATCCTCCAGAGCCGCTGGATCTCGGAGGTTCTCGAGTCATCTTCACCCGATGTAGTTCGGGCGGTTGGCAAGTGGGGGGGACCTGAATGGGGGGGGGGGAGAGCCCCGCAGGGGCCTCTGAGGGCTCCTCTTGGAGACGGCTGGGGCCCCAAAGGGCGCCTTTGCGTGCCCTCGCTTTCGCCCCCCATCAGGTCACTCCCCATGACGTTCCGCCCGATTCGTCCTCACCCGATGTTGCCCTCGCCCTGGCCTCGTCGCAGGCCTCCCCCGGCGGGCGGTGCACCGCGCGGGGCCGCGCCCCTGGCGTGGGCCGCGCGGCCGCGGCAGAGCCTCTCGGCGCTCCGCCCTCTCGACGCCCGGCCGCCGGGATCTCCGCCCGCCCCGCGGGCCGCGTGTCTCGGGGGCGGCCAAGCTCGGCGGCTACAAAGGGTGAGGTTACTCCAGACTTCGTAATTAAAGGGAGGGGGTCTGAACCCTCCAAGACAAGCCATTTCAGACCTCCCCCGTGGGAAAACCCTGCAAAACATCGTCCCCAGACCCCCCAGGCCCTCCAAGATAGCCTGGAAGAGACCCCCCCCGAAATGAGACCCCCTCTCTTTATTACGAAATCTGGAGTACGCTGGGGTGTGGTTTGCGATCGGCGCCGTTGGGGCCTGGGGGGGCACGACGCTGTCCTCGTCGGGCCTGCTCGGGGCGCGGCGGAGAGCTCGGTTGGGGCCCCCGCCCGCCCCCCAGGGTGCCCCCCAGGGTGCCAGTTGCAGACCACACCCTTTGCAAACCATACCCTTCGGAGTCGCCGACAAGCGGGGACGCCGAGACGAGGAGCAGGTTGGGTCCGGAGGGGGCTCGATAGTCTTTCGGCCATCCCGCGGTTGGCCCTCCGGCCCTCCTCGTGCACGCGGGCGCTTCTGGAGCCAAGGAGGGGCGCACCGAGCCCCCTCCCCCTGCCCGTTCCCATCCCGATCCCCGTTGGGGACATGCCCCTCGGCACCCGAAGTGAACGGCCTAGATCCCCATCAGAGGGGGTACATCGGCCAGTGGGGCCCAGGCCACACTGGTGGGGATAGGAATCGGTTAAAGGATGCTCCACTGGGGGGCTGGGGGGGTGGTGCGCGATAGTATGGCCAGGGCCATGGCGGGAGGGGGGGGGGGCGATTTCATGGCCAGGGCCACGGCGTGGGTGGGCGATATCATCATGGCCAGAGCCACGATATCTGCCCGAACTTCTGCCCCCCTCTTCTCTGAGTACGTCCCTTGGTGCCCCCCTCGTCCGCGCACAGGCCTCGGGCCATGATCTGCGCCGCCCCCTCTTTGACGCCGCCCTCTTGGACGCCCCCAAGTGTTTCTGGGTTTCCCAGATCGGATCCGAGCAGATAAACTTACCTGGCTGGTCTTGGGCAGAGATCCAGCAACTCGCTCTCATAGGGTCGAGCAGCTCACTGCACTCTGAGGCTTGTGACGCCTTAAGAGCCTCCGATGGAGTCACCCATGGCAGAATTTCTTGTGAGGCGGCCTGCTTGCGAGCGACTGCTATTTTTTGATGGGGTCCGAGCAGATGGGGACGGAGGATCGCGGCGCAATGTGGGGTCCGCTTTTCTCCGCGCCAACGTCGCCAGAGCATCGCCGCTGTATGGCCGATGTTTTGGCGATGCGGCGCTACTCTCCGACGCCCCTGCTCCGATCCCATCTAGGAGGCCCCTAGAGGTAAGTCGGGCATGTCTCTGCACAGGAGGAATCATCAATAACAGTAGAACAATGGTCGGGGGAAAATGTTTCGATGATTGTTCTATGAGGTTTCGATGCGTTGGCTATGTTTGAGATACTCGTGTGTTCAACGCTTCTTTTAACACCCGCCTGTTGGAGCACATGCCCGACGTAACTGCAGCGTTAAGTCGGGCCTGTCACCCTTGGGAAGGAATATATATATATACACACAAAAGTAGTCAACCATACTCTGGGGACGATGTGTTGACCATGTTTGGCTACTTGGGGGGAATACTTAGGGATATGTTTGTATTTCTCTTCCAGCATCCACATGTTGGAGGACGGGCCCCATTCTAACTTTCCAGCGTGTCGGGGCAGGCGGCAAGGGCGGCACGCTGATGGCCCAGGCCTGTGCGGCTTGCGTGGGGGGGGGGGGGGGGGGGGGGGGGGGGGGGGGGGGCAGGCGAGGGGAGGGATCAGGGGAGGGCGGCGCTTGTCCAGGGGGGCAAAAAACTGTCGGTTGGGAGGATGGGGTACAAGGTACCCTCCTCCTCCACCTCCCCTCCTCCTCTCCTGCTCCTTCGTCCTCCTCCTACTGCTCTCTCCTCCTCCTCCCCCTCCCCCTCCCCTCCCCCTCCCCCTCCCCCCTCCTCCTCCTCCTCCTCCTCCTCCTCCTCCTCCTCCTCCTCCTCCTCCTCGTCCTCCTCCTCCTCCTCCTCCTCCTCCTCCTTCTCCTCCCCCTCCTCCTCCACAATTTCACAATATGAATACTGTTCTCCTCCATCCCCTGATGGCGTGCGGAAGATAGCGGGCACCCCTCCGCGTTTTGATTTTTTACACACAGGATTCCCCAGAGTTGGGTTTTCGCTTGGGTGTGTTTTTCAAAATGATGATCTCGCTGAGGCGCGGGCTTCATCTTCGGGCGTCCGCTCGTTCCGAATCGTGCTCCCGCTGCAGCGCTGGCCTCATTTCCGTACTTCCGCTCGTTCCGAATCGTGTTCCCGCTGCAGCGTTGGCCTCATTTCCGCGCTTCCGCCCGTTCCGAATCGTGTTCCCGCTGCAGCGCTGGCGTCATTTCCCGTGCCATGCCACGGCATGCAATGCAATGCTAGGTTGCGTTCCGTTGCGCGATGCCATGCTTTCAGTTGCAGTGCGTAAGTGCCATGCTATGCCATGCTACGCTTTGATCTTCAACGCCATGTTATGCAATGTTAGGCTCGGGGCCGCTGTGCGATGTCATGCTTTGTGTTGCAAAGCGTTGTGATGCAATCCTTCACTGCGCCACGCCATGCTGTGACATACTACGCGTTGCGGTGCTCTTCTACGCCATGCCATGCCGTGCTCTACAATACAATGCATCGCGTACCCTTTCGGGATCATTGCCCTGCTCAACATCCGACTGTGCGGTGCGAGTAGAGAGGGGATCTACGCTGTGGTAAGGGATGGGAGGGAAGGGGTAGGATGTCAGATATGACGCGAGCGCACCTAGCTTGCACCCCTCCCCCTCCCCCTCCTCCTCCTCCTCCTCCTCCTCCCTCCTCCTCCTCTCCCCCTCCCCCTCCCCCTCTCCTCCTCCGCCTCCTCCTCCTCCTCCTCCTCCTCCTCCTCCTCCTCCTGCTCCTCCTCTCCTCTCCTCCTCCTCCTCCTGCCCTCCTCCTCCTCCTCCTCCTCCTGCTCCCCCTCCCCCTCCCCTCCTCCTCCCCTCCTCCTCCTCCTCCTCCTCTCTCTCTCCTCCTCCTCCCTCCTCCCCTCCTCCTCCTGCCTCCCCCTCCCCCTCTCCCAACCTCCCCCTCCTCCTCCTCGCACCTCCTCCTCCTCCTCCTCCTCCTGTTTCTCCTCCTCCTCCTCCCCCTCCCCCTCCCCCTCCCCCTCGTCGTCGTCCTCCTCCTCCTCCTCCTCGACCAGGGGGACATGAGGATGTCCTTACGCGTAGGCGGCCCAATGTATCGTTCGTTGCATCCAGGTGCCATTGCTCATGCCCTTCGTCCTCCCGAGCCCTTCCTTCCCAACGCGATAACGGTTCGTCTCGGCCGAGGCAGCGGAAGATGGCCTTCGATGGGTTCCCCTCGTCGCCACGGCTGGACGCAGCTCGGACCATTTGTGCATTCTGACCCCGGGATGGGGTCCAGGGACCGACATCGGACTGCCGGTGTCTCAACTCGCCATCCTCCGAGTGGAGAGATGCGAGGGCAGAGGAGGATCAGGTCCCGCTGTCGCTTCTCGTTCCGCGTCGCCACGGCTGGTTTCGTGTTGGGAGTGTGGTAAGAACGCGCCCTCAGAAGAGCGGTCCAGGAAATAGCAGTATCGGAAGGAGGTCGACGAGAAAGATGTGAATGGAGGATGAATGGAGGAAGAGGAGGAGGAGGAGGAGGAGGAGGAGGAGGAGGAGGAGGAGGAAGAGGAAGCGGAAGAAGGAGAGGCAGGGCGACGCGGAGAATGATGTAGGTGAGGGTGTAGGACGATGAGGCGGGAGGAGGGGGATGAGAATGAGGAAGCGGCGGGGTAAAGAGGAGGAGGCGGAGGAAGAGGAGGAGGAGGAGGAGAGGAGGAGGAGGAGGAGGAGGAGGGGGAGGGGGATGAGAGGGGAGGGGAGGGGGAGGGGCGGGGGGGCGGAGGAGGGGGAGAAGAGGGGCAGAAACGAAGACGGAGGAGGATACGGACGAGGAGGAGAAGAAGGAGGGGAGGGAGGAGGAGAAGGATGGGAGACGACGGGGACGACGAGCGGCAAACCCCTCGCAGGCCCCTCGTCGTCCTCCTCCTTCGCCCCCTCCTCCTCCTCCTCCTCCTCTTCCTCCTCCTCCTCCTCCTCCTCCTTCTCCTCTCCTCCTCCTCCTCCTCCTCCTCCTCTTCCTCGACGCCTCGATGCTGTTCGGCTGTGCCGCCAGAAGGCCGCCGCGCTTCCCGCGCGGTCCGCCGCCGCACGGCCTCTTGGGACCGCGGAGGCCCCAGCCGCCCGAGATGTCTGCTCAGAGCGACCCGACTCCCGCCCTGCGGTGGCTCCAGATCCCCACCGGCTCACCACGCGGTGTGGTCACCGCACCGTTTGGGGGTTCCGAATGTTGGTGCCGTGCTCGCCTGGACCGCTCGAGAGGCCGCTGGGTTAACGTCAGCGTCCCATCCTTTTTGTTGGGTGCCTCACACCACAGCGGTCCAGGCGAAAGGACGGGCTTGGGGTTCAACATGCATGATGTTTCGTCTACGGAAACGCTCAGGGGTGATCCTGGCGCTCAAGGCGCCACCTTAAAAAAACATGTTGGTGCCGTGTTCGTATTTGTACCGGTGAGGCCGTGTCGCCGCGGGATGCCGCCGCGGGTGCAGAGCGCAGCACCAGGGTGATGCCCAGCCTGCCTCCGCTGTGGCCCGCGGCGTGTGCATCGGCGTTCTCGTGCTGCTGCTTCTTGCGCGCAGAACCCTCTGGGGCGGCGTCGGGGTTTCGGTGTCGATGTGCTCTTGGATGCTGCTGTCGCTCTTCGGAAGAGACAACCGTCAGCGACCTCGTCACCTTTGTTGCCGCTCGTCACGGCCGAGCGGCCGTTGCGTAATGAGGGGCCATGAACGGGGGGGTGGCGAGGGTGGTCCGAAAAGGTACCCCAACGGCACCTAAACGAGCCCCCCTGGGGCTCCGGAGGGGCCCGGAAGGGGCACGAAAGGGGGCCGCTTCTGACCCCCCTCCCTCTGTGACACCCCCACGGTGCCGCGCCCAACTCGAGCTGCTGGCGTCGGTGCGTGCTTCTGCCAGGGAGGCCGTGTCGTCGCAGGAAGGCGTTGCGGGTGCAGGCGCAGCACCACGGCGTCCCCCCGCGGCGCCCCTCGGTGTGGCCCGCGGCGGGCGGGCCGGCGTCCTCCTGCTGGGGCCCCTTACGCGGCGCCTTGCTGCCGACTTCTCCATCAGCGCAAGCTGATGTGTGCGGCGGTGATCGCCTCATAATGCTCGGGAGCGGAAAAGAGGGGGATGATGACTAGGGGGGGTGGATTTCATGGCGCGGGCCATGATTTTTCCTCAGATTTCATGGCGCCTCTTCTTACTTTATTACGTCCCAGGCCCCCCCGCTGGGCCGCGCACATGCCGCCGGTCATGATTTGCACCCCCACTCTTGGACACCCCCCTCTTGGCCGCTCCCGAAATGCCCTCGATGCGACATGTCGGGATGGGTGATCTCTCTTTCGGCCACGTCGCCTCTGTTGAACCACTGGCTACCCTCGGTGCGCTACCGAGATCTGGCGAGGAGCCGGCAGAAGCATCGCTCGGCAGCGAAGACCTGCTTTTCGCACGGCGTGGTAAACGCCTGCCCCGCAGAACAAGCCAAACGAGATATGACAAAGTGTGCTCATGTGGCTGCGTCGGGGTCTCGATGAGGGTGTGCTCGTCATGCTCATGCCGCGCTTCGAGGGAGGACATCGGCAGCAACCCAAACTGTCCGCGGTCCGCGCAGATCTCTCGGCTCGGCGCCGGACCCCCGTGGCGGCGCCTCCTGCGCCACCCCTCAGCGCGCCCCGCGCTCCCGTGAGGGACGGTCCGCCGCCGATGTGTCACGTATACTCAGGCGCCGGTGCCCGCTTTCGCCGCCGCCGCCGCCGCAGGGGTTTTCCTTCTCTCGGCGGCGACGAAAGGGGCGAGCACGGTGGAGGCGTTCGTGAAGGAGTGTGCCCAGCAGGACTCAGACCCTGGAGGCTTCCTTCTCCAAGGAGGGCGGCGGTGATGTCCATGGCCGGTCCACGAGTGGAGTTCCACTGGCTTCCAGACCCTGTATTCCTTATCAAGCGGTTCCTTATCCAATGCCCACACCGCAGCCCAGGGGCGGGCATTCCATGCATTCGTCCGGAAGCCTCGCCGAAGGCACGGACCATCGACGCCCCTGGATGCCTGCAGTGCTCTCCCCTGGGCACCTCGCCCCGGGCCTCGCCCCCGCCTCCCGCCCCGGTGCTCGCCGATGGTGCCGCAGCTCGGAGCTCGGGGATCCCCGGGCGGTGCGGCGCGGCCACGCCGCGCGGCGCCTCGGCGGGGCTCTGCGGGGTGCCTCGGCGCGCTGCTGGCGGGGCGCGGGCCGTGCTCCGAGGGGCCCGGCTCGGGCGGCGAGGCGCTGCCGAGGGCCCGGAAGAGGCCGTGCTGGTGGCGGGCCGCGCGGCGAGGTCTCCTTGTGTGAAGGGGCCCTGGGACACACAAACAAATACACACAAGCATAAAAAGGAGTCCCCATATTTTCCCAGATTTTCTGGGTTTTTGTCTTCCCCCCCCCTTCCCATATGTTCCCATATTTTCCTATATTTTCTGGGGAATCGACGATTGGTTGTGTCTGTGTGCTCTTTCCCCTCCTGATCGTGGGCTCTCTCGAGGTCGCGGCGCGGTCCGCCGCCGCACCGTGGAGCGCGCCCCCCGGGGTGCGGCTCCGAGGAGGAAGAGGTACCCTCTTAAGTCGGGCTTGTCCCTCCGCCTCCTCCTCCTCCTCCTCCTCCTTCCTCATCCTCATCCCTCCTCCTCCTCCTCCTCCTCCTCCTCCTCCTCCTCCTCCTCCTCCTCCCCTTCGTCCGACCCGAGCCAGGAGGACAGCGGTGCTGGTCCTCACGCCAGGGCGAAGCTGCAGGAGGAAGATTCAAAAATAGTCAGGGGACGATTGTTTGCCCCTTTTTGACCATCCTTGATGTTTTTCGACTATGTTTCATGTGTCGTCCAAAATCCGCATGTAGCGGGACACGCCCGACCGAAAGGTACCCATACCTCCACCGTTCCTTCATTTTCCCCAGATTGGGCCTCCTGCGCGGCCCTCGTCGCCACCTCTGGATTCGCCTCGACACCCTGGTCAGAACGCACCCCGGGAGAGGCCCCGGGAGTAGCAGTACCGGTACCTTTTGGTTTCCCCAGTGGCCGTGGGCGACTGGCGCAGCCACGAAGCAGCCCAGGGACCCCTTCCCGCGGACTCGCTTTTCACCCAGGGCCGTTTCTTGGCGGTCCCGGAGCCTGGCAAGGGCCTCCACCACCACATCAGAGCCGAGCATGGGGAAGGGCGCGTGGGCAGGAGAGAGCGCGCGGTTGGCAACACTTCGGGAATTGAGAGGAGCGACAGAGAACGGAACGCCTCACGACTGCGAAGCAGAAGCGGAACGCCCGATTTTAAAGCAGAAGGCGGGCTGCGAGACAGGAGGAGGAGGAAGAGGAGGAGGAGGAAGAAGAAGAAGAAGGGTACTGATTCTAGTTACGAGAGAAGCTCGTACACCGAGGTAGCCTGGCTTCCCCAGCTTCTTGTGAGAGGCCGCCCCATTTGCGTGGGAAAGGCCCTGTTGTTTGGGAGAGCCATAAAATAGCAGAGTATTGTTCCCGCCGAGCACGATCCAGTTCTACTTGCAATAGTGGTGTGCAGAGCCGTTTATCTATCGAATCGATGTTTGTTTCAGAGTGGTTCTGTTCTGGCATTGTCCTTCACGGTGGCGTCGCAGACGCTCAAAACAAACGATGGCGGGATGCACGATATTCCAGATGCGTCTGCATTGAAAATTGCTTAATCGTGCTATCCCATCTCATAGAAGCCATGCTTCATCCAAAGTAAAGAAGACATGACTCAAAATGCAGTCGAGATACATATGATATGTCCGTTTCCGTTCAAAGGTGGCGTGAGGCCATACATGTTGCAGATGTTTGAGGATGTTGGCTGCTTCCCCAAGCCTCCGAGACAATTCATCTCCAGTTCTGCCATCGCAGTGTATTACCTCACCCAGATAAACTCCTCATCGCCCATTTGATGCGTTCCCCCCATGATCTTCCGTACTACTCCTCATGAAGTTCGTTTGATTCGCAATGGTTTTTCCCAATGGACTCCCATGCCCTCTTACAGAGGGTCCAAGCATAAATTGAAGATGCCAGCGGTGTTGCGACGCCAAGAGAGTATCCTCCGCGTGGCGTGTAACATATCCCCAATGACCACATACTCCAGCTCTGGTTGTAGCTCAAGCGTGCCAAGGGCGTCGTGCAACATTACAGCTTGTACAGTGATGGGCAAGTAAGGCCGTAGTGGGCAGCCTTGAGCGATACCTGCATATTGCTTTCTTTACAAGGAAGTGTCACTATGGTCGACTATACTAAAGTACCAGTCTCCATAGATTCCACGAATCACGCCGACAATTGGCAAGCGGTGCTGGCATTCCAAATATATGTCCAGGTCTCTGATTTGTTGACAACGTTGCCCCCCAGGGGTCCGGACTCATTCGCAGAGATTCGCGGTTCACCCCAGGCCGTTGCCGTTGACGGCCCCCGCGCCCGGCAAAGGGCCCCCAGAGGCCGAGAGTTGCCGCAGATTTTCCGCCGTGATGTCTCCTCAGAGCCGGAGGTCAGACAGCCGGAGGCCGGGAGGTTGGCACCAACACCAAGGTCGGCAGTATGCCTCCACCGAGGGAAGTTAAAACAGGGCTAGGATCGGGATAAATCGTTCCAGAGCGTTCCGGAGCGCTCTCAGAGCGTTCTGGAACGCTCTGGAGCGGCCGCGGCGCCCAGTACATCCTCCAAACCAACTGATTCTCAGAGATTTCGAGTTATCCTGATCCGATTTTGTCCCGATCTTCGCGTCGTTTCAGAAGTTGATCCCAGTCTCGGCGATGGTGGTCATCTTTGGGTTTCCTAGGTGGCCGGAAGAAGATTACCACCAACACCAACATCTAGCATCATCCTCCCCCGGTGAACGCAAGCCCCTTTTTTTGGTGTCGGTGTCCATTTCCAAAGATCCACGGAGCTTGATGGTGCCCCCAGAAATTGTGGTTCGGCACGGTTTGGAGTTGTCAGGACGCAACAGACCCGGTGGATTCGAGGTGTTGAAGCCCCAGGGGTGGTGTTCTGGCGCGGCTCCGGATCGTCAGAACGCAACAGTATCGATTCGCGGCGTTGGAGCCCCAGGAACGGTGTCTTGGGTTCTGGCACGGTTGAGGATTCTCACACGGCTGTTTTTCAACAAGGCATTTCCAGCAGTTATCTTTGTAGGGATCTATGACGCGGGGATTCGGAGGGAGAGTTTATTGCAGCATCATTGATGCGTCTCGGGTTTACATTGGTCCGTCTCCTCCTCTACCCCCCTCCTCCTCCTCCTCCTCCTCCTCCTCCTCCTCCTCCTCCTCCTCTTCCTCCTCATCCTCCTCTTCCTGTTCCCCCTCCTCCTCCTCCTCGTCCCGCCTATCTTCGTTCCACCCTCCTGCCCGCATGTCCCCGGAGGTCTCCCGAGGCCCAAGAGGGGCCAGACACCTGCAAGACCCCGCATCCTTTACATTCGATTCCCCCCTCGTCCTGGGACCCCGAGCCCGCACATCCGACGATGTGTTTTTTTGTCCGATCTGCGGGCCCCGCAGTTTTCTACCATTTTCACGGTGGGGCACGTTTTTTGGTTCAAGAGATTCACGCCATCCCGTTCGGTGGCCTCTTGGGGCAGGAAGACCGGATTTTCGCTTTGAGTTCTCCCTCTCCACCTTCTCTGGGCCGTCTTGGAGTCCTCGTGGGCCGGGGCCCTCGTAGGGGGCTCTTGTGCAGCTGTGGGGCGGTATTTTGGGCCTCTTTGGCTGTCTTGGAGCGTCGGAAGCTCTAGAAGACGATGACCCCAGAAACAACAAAAACAAACCTAAGTAACTAAAAGCATTGATGTGTGCCTCTCGGGGCCCTCTTGGGAAGGCTCCTGGAGCGCCTCGAAAGTGTCTTGAGGCGTCTTGGAGACATCCTAGGTGTCCTGGGCCAATCGTTCCGCGATTCGGGACCGTCTGGGAACCTCTTTGAGGCCACGGAAGGTCGGTTTGGAAGCTCCGGAGTCTCCCAGGGTGCGCTGGAAAATGACCCCCCCCCTCCCCCACTTAAACAGGATTTTTGCTGGAAAATGACCCCCCCCCTCCCCCACTTAAACAGGATTTTTGACCCTGGGGGAGGGGGAAAGGGAGAGGGTGACAGCCAACCATCTCACACGCCTTCTCACCTCCAGCTAGCGGGGGTCGGCGGATCCTCGATCCACCCACAGGGCCAGAGGCCGAAATCAATGAACAGAAACAGGGACTGAACAAATCACAGCGTCGGGGGTTAAGGCCCCTTTGCTCAGGAGAGTCAAAACAGCTGTGGAAACAGCGGGGGCGAGTATTGAGACCAGTTTCTGCCTATTTCACACACGGCGCGCTGTCGGTGCCGCCGCGGACGCTGTGCACTGATGCAAACGTCCCCCGCCCGACCACTTCTCAGAGGCAGCAGTTTGGGGGGAGGTTCTGGGGGGCATGCATCGGCCCCGAAACGCCCACTGATCGCCAGCAGGGGCCCGATAGCCATCCCTGCCCAAGAGCGTGCGGTTTCGCTATCGGGGGCTCTTGGCCAACCAATCTGCGATGTATCGCCCGATTCCAGCTCGATGTTTCTTCCCCTGAGCCGGTCCTCTCCTGACGTTCCCCCGCAATTTCGGGTGTGCCAGTTTGTGGGGATGCCCAGCGGCGGCAGGTGGGCAGCTCGTTCATAGTGAAGGAGCTCAGCTCGGGAGACCACCAGCAGCTGCTCGCGCTCGCGGGGAGCGCAAGGGCGCGGGTGGTCGCCGTGAGGCAGATGGGACCCGTCGGAGGGGCTCGATGTAACACGCCCTGTGTGGTCGGCTAAGGCGGCGAAGGAGTTCGGCGTCTTGACGTTCCAGCGTTCCACAGGTTTGGAACTGGGGTGTCTGCACAACGAGTTCCACAACTTGGTGTGCACTTCGAGCCCGTCCCGGTCCTAGGATGAAAGTGTCTTTTGGGCGGCGCGTACTGGGGGGGTCATAAATGGGGGGGTGGCGAGGGTGGTTCGAAAAGGTACCCAAACGGTACCTAAACGAGCCCCCTGGGGCTCTGGAGGGGCCCGAAAGGGGCACGAAAGGGGACCTTTTCTGACCCCCCCATTTGTGACCCCACCATTAAGCCACGCCCAAGTCTTTTAATTTTGCTCGTGCATCTATGGTTCTGGGGGCCCTCCCCAGGTCCTGGGCCCCTCAAGCAACGATTCGGGATGAGACTGGGGCAAGCCTCCAGGCCCTCCCCAGGTCCTTGGGCAAGCCTCCAGGCCCAAGACTTGCTTCCCTCGGGACATTGTTCCTTCATGCCAGGGGGACGCGGCCTGGTGGAGGAGGAGGAGGAGGAGGTGGAGGAGGAGGAGGTGGAGGTGGAGGAGGAGGAGGAGGAGGAGGAGGAGGAGGAGGAGCGATGCAGGTGGAGGAGGTGCAGGAGGGGGAGGAGGAGCAGGAGAAGTGAGGCGGGGGACTTTGAGGAAGCTGGACCCAAGCACACGGGAGTCGGGCTGCGGCGGGGGCGGGGGCGGGGACGAAGACGACCCGCGCACGATGGAGCTGCAGCCCTGGCAGGACCAGAGCCCAGTCGCCACCGCACAACGACAGCCAGTCACCCATCCCCTCCCGACGCGGGGATCAGGACCAGCTGCCAGGAGTGAGGAGGAGGAGGAGGAGGAGGAGGAGGAGGAGGAGAAGGAGGAGGAGGAGGATGAGGAGGAGGAGGGGGAGGGGGAGGGGGAGGAGGGGGAGGGTGGGAAAGAGGAGGGAGTCAGGAGGATGTGGGGCAGAAGGACCGTATTGGGAGCTCTCTGGGCCGTCTTCAGGCCAGCTCGGGAGCCTCTTGAGCTGTCTTGGGTCATCTTGGGTCGTGTTTGTGTCATCTTGGCTCCCTTGGATGCCATCTTGGAGGCCATCTTGGTCGTCTTGAGGTCGAACGGAGTGCCGGACGGCAACTTCAGAGCGGGCGGTTTTCGAGGCATGCTTGCGAGTACGGCGGCGGTCGGCCCCAGAACGACTAAAGAAATTTTCCAGGCAACAGATGAGCAAGTTAACGCGCCCACTCCGTGCAGGCACGGTGGCGGACGTGTTCGGTGTGGACGCGCGCCTCCCCGAGTTGTGCACAGTGCTGGCGTGTCTTTCTGCGTCCCATTCGCCTGCCTTGGCCGTGGAAGCGCAATCACGGTTATGATGTTCCAACCTATTTTAGCCATGACCGCCGGAAATTAAGAGTCTTTTTTTGTTTTTTTTGTTTTTTTTTTTTTTTTTTTTTTTTTTTTTGTTTTTTTTTTGTTTTTTTTTATTTCTTTTTTTTTTTTTTTTTTTTTTTTTTTTTTTTTTTTTTGTTTGTTTTTTTTTTTTTTTTTTTTTTTTGTTTTTTTTTTTTTTTTTTTTTTTTTTTTTTTTTGATTTTTTTTTTTTTTTTTTTTTATTTTTTTTTTTTTTTTTTTTTTTTTTTTTTTTTTTTTCCTTTGTGTTTTTTTTTTTTTTTTTTTTTTTTTTTTTTTTTTTTTTTTTTTTTTTTTTTTTTTTTTTTATTTTTTTTTTTTTGTTTTCCTATTTTAGCCATGACCGCCGGAAATAGCTTTGAGCCCCCAGCAAATATACCGAAATTCTGGGGTTTTCACGCGTCGGGCCCGGAGAGGCACTCGTCCCACACTCGCCCGACATTGTTTCGACAGTTTTTCGACACTTTTCCGGGCGCTCGCGATGATTTCTGCGCTCTTCACCACCCACCAAACCACCCCAACCCGACCCGAAGGCTCATATTTTCCGTCGATTTCCAGTGGGGGGGCGGGAAACATAGAAAAAACACATGTGGAACCCTTACCCCCCCAACCCGAAATTCGGGTCTTCGGGTTGGGTTGGGGTGGTCTGGTAGGTAGTCAGCTCTGGTTCGTGAGCACGCTGGGAGCAAGCTGACCTCACATGTCAAGGCGCACGGGGCAGCGACGGGCCCCGCTGCCGCGTCCCAGGAGTGGCCCGCCCCGGGAGCGCCCCTCCTCCGTCTCCTCCTCCTCCTCGTCCTCATCCTCCTCCTCCTCCTCCTCCTCCTCCTCCTCCTCCTCGTCCTCCTCGTCCTCCTCCTCCTCCTCCTCTCCTCCTCCTCCTCCTCATCCTCCTCCCTCCTCCTCCTCCTCCCTCCCCCTCCCCCCTTCCCCTCCCCTCCTCTCCTCCCCCCACAGCGCCAGCGAGGGCGGCACTCCAGGGCCATCTCTCGCCGTGCCTGCCCTCCCCGGGGGCCCCTCGCGGGGCCTCCACGGCACGAGTCGGGGCGAGGCGCCGGCCCCCAGAGGGGAGCGTCGGGCGATGGGCCTGTCTCCCACCACCACCACCACCACCACCACAAGTTGGAGGGGGAGGTGGTCTCCCTGCTCCTCCTAACCTCCTCCTCCTCCTCCTCCACCTCCTCCTCCTCGTTCTTCTCCTCCTCCTCCTCCTCCTCCTCCTCCTCTTCCTCCTCCTCCTCCTCTTCCTCCTCCTCTTCCTCCTCCTCCTCCTCCTCCACCTCCTTTTCCCCCTCCAACTCATAGTGGTGGTGGTGGTGGTGGAAAACAAGCCCATCATCGGGGCTCCCAGGGGTGCCGCGCACTGGTCCTCGTGCCTCCTGTCTGCTCCTCCCGCCCGTTCCTCCTCCCGCCGTTCGCGTCCTCCTGTCTGGAGGGTGCAGCTCCGGGGAGGTGGATGTCAGCCTCGACGCCGGCGCACCCGCGGTCGAAAACGCGCCGAATCCGGCAGAATGCCGTCCGCTTTCATTCAGTCTGGCTGAATCGGGATTACTCCTGGGCTTGATCCGGGCAGATCAGGTGAAGATATTCAAGGAGTTGTCTACCAGCTGCCTCCTTCTCCTGCCTTCCCTTCCTCAGGTCTGCCTCTGGACGCTGCACGCGCTGAGACGCGCGGGAGCCTGTCGAGCAGGGGCTGCTGGCTGGCCCACGGAGAGGGGCCCGCGGCTGCTGCTTGCGGAGGCCTCCTTGGACTGTCAGGCCGAAGGGTATTCGGGCCAGGACCAGGCTACCACAGCACATCCCAGATTTGGAGGGTTTCTCCGAACGGCTTAAGCGCTGCCCACCCTCTCCTCCTCCACCTCCCCCTCCTCCCCCTCCTCCTCCTCCTCCTCGTCATCTCAGTCCTCCTCCTCATCCTCCCCTCCTCCTCCTCCCTCAATCCTCCTCCTCATCTCCTTCCCTCCTCCTCCTCCTCCTCCTCCTCCTCCTCCTCCTCCTCCTCCTCCTCTTCCTCCTCCTCCTCCTCCTCCTCCTCCTCCTCCTCCTCCTCCTCCTCGGGTAGCCTACGGCCCCGGGGGAAACCGTGCACCCAGATCTGTCTGACAACCCCAAAGCCCATCTCGCGTCGGCGCCGTCTGCTCCCGGCAGCGGCGACGGAGAGGGAGCACGGGAACGAGACGCAGACAGACGCAGCGAACGCGCAGGCCGGTGGCCGCGGCCAGCGGGACAAGGCATGCGGGCGGGCAGGCGGGAACGGGCAGTCGGGCCAGACGGAAGTCGCCGTGAAACAGACGTTCCTCCTCCTCTTCCTACTCCTCCTTCTCCTCCCCCTCCTCTCCTCCTCAGCCTTCCCCGAAGACAAAACAAAAACAGTCGGCGCGAGGGCTTCTGAGAAGCCTGGCCGCCTTCGGAGAGGACAATCTCCTTATCACTTCACCCCTCGCTCGCCGCCGATCTGACCACTCGGGGAACGGCAAACAGAGAAACATTGACACGCGTCATTACCTCTGCATCTCGCTCCTCTGATTCTCGACTGGCCTAAGTCCAACCCGCCCCTCTTGCCACGAAGGAGAAACGGTCCCCGAAGAACACGAGCCCTGGAATTCCTGGGGGCCTCTCCCCAGGCTTCCAGCTCTCCATCCATCCCGAGCCACTTCTTGACACTCTCCTCCAGGGAGGGCCACCAAAGCCCGAGAGCGGCGAGAAATTTCGGCCTCCTCCTCCTTCTCCTTTGCTTTTTCCTCCTCTTCACCTCCTCCTCCTCTTCCTCCTCTTCCTCCTCCGTCTCTTCCTCCTCCTCCTCCTCTCCCTCCTCCTCCTCCTCCTCCTCCTCCTCCTTCCGCCTCCTCCTCCTGCTCCTCTTCTTCCTCCTCCTCCGCATCCTCATCCTGCTCCTCTTCAGCCTCATCCTCCTCCACCTCCTCCTCCTCCTCTTCCTCCTTCAGTCCAGGTGTAGAAAGCGGCACAGAAATAAACTTTCGGAGCTCCGCGCGGACTTCTTGGATCGGCGTTGGCCCCCACTCTGGCGCGCGGAGCGCGCAATGGCGGCGCTGGAGGCTCCGCAATGGGGGCCAAGCGCCGATCCAAGAATCTCGCGCGGAGCTCAGAAAGCTGACGTTCATGCCTGGCGGTTCCTCTACCCATCCTCCTCGCGCCTCATCCCTCCTCCTCCCTCCCTCCTCCTCTCTCCCTCCATCCTCCCCCCTCCTCCCCTATCCCTGCCTACTCCTCCCCCCTCCCTCCACCCCTCCTTCCTCCTCAGTTCTCCTCCCTCCCTCCTCCCTCCCTCCCTCCCTCCCTCCCTCCCTCCTCCGCGCCCTTCGCGAAAGCCCTGGCGGCGGGCAGGAGCTACGCGGAGCACGTCCGGGGCGGCGAGAGCCTCCTGACGCCGATCTACCTGCACTTCAGCGATGCGCAGACGGGCCGCAGCTTCTTCGTGATGAGGCCCACCTTCCGGAGGAGGGAGAGGCCCAGAGGTCCGACGCTCTCCACAAAAATGGAGCGGGCGGTGTTTGGTTGTTTCCGGCCTCTGGGGGCCCTCGCCGGGCCTCGGGAGCGTCAAAAAAACGACTCGTGACGAAAAACTGGCCCCAGGGAAGTGGTGCAGACTTCGGGGACCCACGCATCGAAGGATGTCTGGGGAGGTACGCGTACCGCTGCCCTCCCCTCGTTTTCGCCCTGTGGGGCGTCCTGGGAAGCCCCGGTCGCCACCGCTGGATTCGCGTCGCCGTTCTGGTCAGAACGCACCCTGTCCGAAGAAGGAACGGCTGCATGCTTGCGCATAAGTTTTCGGCGCTCCGCGCAGGATCGGCGTTTGGGCCCCCCTTGCGGCGCCTCCTGCTCCGCTCCTCGCGCGATCCGCGCGCCGGGAAGGGGGGTGCAGGCGCCGATCCACGAGGTCCGCGCGGAGAGCTCCGAAAGTTTGTGTGTTACGCGGTCGTTTGTGCCTCTACACTCCAGGCGATGCTGAAGAAAACCCAAGTTTTCGGCCAGAGTCTCGATTATTCTTAATGTTTCAATGTAAATCCTAACATTTGAATAGACATTCTGGGTTTGATTTCAAATTCTGAGACTATGAATTTCTTAACCCATGATTTCTAAAGCATTTCGCAGGGTGTACTGCTGGGGGCGGCCAAGAGGGGTGATGGCTTGGGGGGGGGGAGATCATGGCTTGGGCCATTCTGTGTCTGCAGATGTCATGGCTCATCTTCGTGCTCTTCCCTAGGCCGTGCACGTGCCTCCGGCCATGATTTGCAACCCCCCCTCCAGACATCCCCTCTGGAGTGCCCCCGACCTTTGCAGGGAGTGGCGATCCAAGGCAAGTCAGATGAGGGCGAGTTGAGACAACGGCAGTTGCCTTTGGGGGGGGGCCTCGTCGCCAGTTGGACGCAGCTTGGAAAACTGATGCGTCATACACAAGAAGAAAGAGGAGCAGTCTGGACAGGGTATAGGTTGCTGTCACCGAAGACGGCTCCTGGGGGGCCTCTTCGGGGCATTCTGACGGTCCCGGGAGACATCTTTAGGAGAAAGGTTCGAAATGACAGCTCGCGTTCCCACACTTGGGACCCTCTGGGGTCGTCTTGGAGCCAATTTGGGGGCCTCTTCGGCCTTCTGGGAGCGACCTTATGGGCCTCTTGGGCCGTCTTGGAACGTCGGGAGCACAAAAATTCCTGGAACAATTCGAGGGTTCACATCAGTTGAGTTTCTCGGGGCTCTTTGCGGGTCATCTTATTGGGGACCCCCTGGGCCGTCCTGGAGGCCATCTTGGAAATCTTGGAGCGATCGTTCGGCGACCTGACGCCCACTTCGACCGTCTTGGGGCCCTGGGCGGGTGGCCCCTCAGAAGGCAGGTGCCTTCCCAGGCGGGCCTGAAGTCTGATCGCTCTTCAACGCAAGCCTCAGCTTGTGCAGATTTTTATGCTCTGGATTTTCGGAGGACCGCGCAAACTTCTTGGATCGGCGCCAGGGGGCGGATCCGACCCGGCGCCGATCGGTCGCACGTTGGTTTCGAGTGCAGTGTTGAACAGTGCCCGGAGATCTTTGCTGAGGGAGCCTTGGACAACCTTGCGGGCAGCGTCCAGCTCTCCGAAGACATCAGAACAAAAGAGGGCCGTGCACCGTTACGGCACGCCGGTCCACCGTGCCTGTGCCCGAGCCAGCTTTCTGGCCGAGCGGAGCTCGAGCTGAGTCGAGTCCAAATTTCTCCTTTCTCCTCCTTCTCCTGCATTACACGACGCCTCAATCATGACGTTGAGCGCCATGCCCGCTGAGCCTCGCAGGGTAAAGCCCCCCTCAGTTAGGCGCTGTCCAGTCGCTTCCTGAGGCTTGCCCAATTTCGTTTTCTCCGTCGTATCGTCGCAGTCTCGTCTGTCGTGCCGTCGTCTTCTTTGAGACTTGGCACCCGCGCGCGGGTTTCTGCATGTCTTGAGTCTCGGGTGTATCCCCGTTTCCTCGTTAATATCCTTCTCTTCCTCCCTCTCCTCGTGCTCATGTGGCGGGCATCGCAGGAACACTGTTGGTGCCGGGCCGGTCATGGAGCTCTACGACCTCAAGGGGTGCGCTGACGACAAGACCTTGGTGCGGGATGGCGAACCCATCAAGGCCACGACGCAAGGAAGAGCAAGCAGATGCGGAGCATCCTGAGGGATGGCCAGGGGGAGTTTGGAAGGAGACCTAGCAGACTGGAAGTGCAGAGGAGACGGGGAAGCAGGAGACTCATGCCCGCCAGAGATGGCCCGAGCTCATACCCCCCCACCGGTTGCTCCTCCTCATCCTCCTTTCTGTTCCTCCAACGCCTCTACCTTCCTGCTTCCCTTCCTCACGCTCATCCGACACCTCCGCCTCGTCACTCTAAAGTGAGCTGGGTGTTGCATGGGAGTGGGAACGAGCGTGCATCCGCGGCTGCTTGGCTCAAAGCGGCCGGCCGCCCAGATCTGACTACACCTCAGCGCGAGGTGTACCATTTGCCATCGATACCAAAACTGCTTGAGTTGGCTCACCCCCTACTACTGGGACTATCGTTACTACGGTACAACAGAGCGGGAGTTGGGCTTCGCCTAAGGCGAAGCTTCTGGTTGGGCCACCCAACCCCTTTCAAACTTCGTCACCCGACTCCAGTGTGCAAAGCTCTTCCTCCTCCTGACTGCGCACAGCAAGCACGACGGGGTCGGTGTGGGGATCCAGGTCCGCCAGGACACCCGTCGGCGGACAGAGAAAATATGGGCGCACCAGGGCAGGGATGGGCGGGCGGGAGGGGCCGAATGGCAGATCTGGCGCGCGCGCCCGCTCGCCCGCGCGCGCGTCTAGCTTGCCTCGTCCTCCCTCTCGCCAGTTCTCCCGTCCCTTGTTTTTGCCCCTCTCTCCCTCCCTCTATGTATATTTTTCTTTCTCTGTCTCTCTCTCTCTCTTTCTC